CCAAGCCGCGTCCAGACTTTGAGCCAATTTCCCAATATTTATTTCTATGTTCGAAACGCTAACAACTTGCGTTTCGTTCTGGCCAAATTGAAAAGCCATACGGAATCTGAGAATCGGCAGCCCGAAGAGTTTGGCAGCCAGGAGGATTGCCCGGGAGTGCATAAAATTTAAGTATTATGACCATACACTGGTTGGTGTCTGTCTTTAACCCCAGTGTTTTCTCCCCCTCCCGTTTTTCTACGGCTTTACGAGGTTGTTAACTGCTGGAACTATGCTAACCACTCATGGAGATCCTCCCATTCCGGGCAGCAGCATCAATTAATCAGTCAGGCGTAACGCCATTTGGCACAGAGCGGGCCCCTCAACCACAATTGATAGTCAATAATCGTTAATTGTTTTCGATTTTCGGCCAAAATCCCCTCCGGTTCCATTGTTTGGGCAACCCTTTCTGGGGTCTCCATAGAGACAAACGCTAAACGATGCCATTGTCTTTGGCTCACAGCGTGTGTGCTTTGATGGCTTTTTCTACTCGAGTGTCATTCATTAGAGGGGCTTTCTTCCATCTTAACCTGGCTACCGGTTGTGAAGCCGCATTTACTTTAAGTAGCCCATAATTAATAACTGCTAACTTACTTAGCGTCGTATTGTGCCAGCTAATGAATCCCATTCCGGATTTTCCACCTCGATCGAAGCGTGAAGAAATGCCTTGGGTTTATTTAAATTCACAGTATCAGTTTCCACTTTAAATTGATAACTTTCAGTTTAAGTTTAATAACTGGTAACGAATTCGTAGTTGGATTTAACAGAAAACTAATGAAAGTGAGGGATTTAGGAACTGGAAGATTTTAATTACTTTTAGTTAAAAACCTTTTATACTACAAACAAAATTATGAAGATTTATGTAAATTGTCTTAAAATTGAAGATTGAAGGATCAAAGGAGATATTTTTTTTTTATCACTTTAATGGATTATCAAGGATCATCGGAAGAGTTCCTAGGGGTTAGGCACCCCCATAATGATATTCATGAATTTTTTCACTGCGCTCAAAACTATGCAACACATTGTGCAGTGGATTCTCGAGATATTTCATTCGACTCAATTGAACGAATTTAGAACGAGTGCATATCCCGCACTCAATTACATTTCACTTTCCAAGGGAAGGCCGCCACTCAGATACACACATGTGTTCCGGAGCCCCGTAGCCCCTATGCCATGTACCATATAGCCCATACCCCATGCTATATCCCCGGTTTTTCGACCCTTCCTCTCTTTCGGTGGATTATACAATGTGTGGCTGGCGTTCCGTTCAATTTTGTGTGTTTTCTGTATTTGTTTATGCGGCTGCCGCGAAAATACATTGCAGAGATGTGTTCTCCAGCATGTTGAATGGGGGAATGTGAATTCGTTTCATTTGTTCCCTCATTTAATTGAAGAGATTTATTTCGCGGCGTTCGCCTGGTTCTGTTCGGTTTGACTTCAGTTGCGATCGGACTGCGTGCCGTTACAGTTAGAAAATCGGAGGAAAATCGACAGCAAACAAACTCGAATCGATCGGCCAATTTCGCTTAATAATTATGGTTAATAATAATTAGCAACACCGGACTGTGAAAACACATTCGGAGGAAAATAAAAGAGTGAGACAGAGTCAAGTGTGCGGCAATTTCTGCTTCTGTTTCTGTTTTTGTGCTTAAGTGCCGTAAAAATACGTACTAAAACATTTCAAGAATTTTAAGTGGAAAAATTCTCGAATTCTGTGAACTTTCTCAATTGTGTTTTGGTGAAACATTTACATTTTAACCGAAGGCGAGTGAAATTCCGCAGCGAGACGCAAAGACATTTTGGATACTCTGGGCTATTTGGCAACAAGCTTTTTGTTTTGGAGCAACACGCATGTGAGGTAAGTCTTTAAAAATATATACTTTTTGGTACTACTTATACATATGCATCGGCGGCATTGGTTTATTTAGCTTTTTTTGCGTAATTGCGCAAATTATTTGTTTGGTCTACTTTTTGATTGACCGCACACAGCAATTTGACTTTTCACCCAAAGGCCAAAAAGTGTAAAATGTGCTTTGGTTCCATGTTGGTGAACCAAAGCAATTTGTGTCGTTTATCTCGCTGTGTATGTAGTCAATCGTTCAATTATCTCTTCTCTGGCTACCCCATAATGTACTGAATATGGCCAGTTCTCCTCGGACTGAAAGCCCCATAGAATACGTTTTTTATTTCTCTGTTATGGTTCATGCTCAAATTGAAAGCACTTTTCCACAGGGTTCCCATTCTAATTTATATTTATTTATTTGCTTTTACAGCCCAACCGACGCGGCAGAGCTGAGAAAATATTTCAAATTCATAATTTAGTTTTCAGTTCGGTTCAGTTCAGATTTTTTTCCCAGCTTGATATGGGGAATGGGATTTGTTATTAACCAACATGGATTGCGAGCATCTAAAGGGGAACATGCAATATTTTCTAGCCGCGTAAACAAACATTTCAACTTGTCTGCTCTTTGTCCGACTTTCTCTATATCTGTGTGTATATAGCTATTTGTATATATTTATCGCGTATCTGTTTGGTCGGTCGGGAAGCTTTACGATGCCATCTTCTCACTGAATCGGCTTCTGTTTTGTTGCCTTTGGCAATCACTCAATTTGCTCCCTGACGATCATCCTTCCTCACTTTTCCCCCTCTGTGGCCCAAAAACTTATTTATGAATGATAATTAAGGTTAGGTTTGTTTAGCTAATTGTACCGCCGATTCCAGGTATTGTTTCGATCCCAGGTAATCTTATTCAGGAGCAGCGGGATAATCGTTTGATCTTGACTGATGTTTCGAATGGTAATTATTATCTTTTTGTGGAAATAAATCCTTTTAGGAGTGTGTATTACAAAGTTAAATTGTAAAAGCCATTGTTTACAAGCATTTTTGGTAAATATTATTTTTGCAACGAATGGGTTCACTCTTCACCCCAATTATTATTGAAACTACAGTAGAGGGTAAACACAGCTTTGTAAACATTTTCTGAAGTAATCACTTAAATTAACACAATGACTAATTTAAATGCATTCGAAGGAAACGAAATTTCAAAATGTTTATTTGTGTAATATTGCATTCATAAAAATAAAAACCAATCAGGTATGAATTTGGAATGACTAGGGTTTGTGGCTTTGTAATAATGTTTATTTTTTATTTTTTTTTTAAATTGCAACCTCTGTATTTTATGGTTTTAAATATCTGAAAATACTTTTGAAATTCTTAAAACCTATTTGGTTTCACGTTCTCGGATCGGGGTTTTCCTTCACGATTTTCTTCACTCGACCTTTCCCTCCATCGGCATCTTAGTAGAGCTCCCCCATGATATCCAACCTTCCCGCTGTCACGTACTGAGTGGCATATGGTGGATAGATGGATGGATGGGTGGTTGTACAGGGGAGATGGGTGGCTGGAACCTGCCGACGAACCGTGCGAAATTACAGACTCGTGCCGGTCTCCACTTGGTATCGAGGTGGCGGGGTTACCGACCAAGTGCGTCACTTACGGTGAACCCGTGCGATGGAAATGGATGCCAAGTGACCGGCGGTTCAATGCGATAGGAGATGGATGTTGTGTGTACACTTTGCGAATACTTTTCGCACCGTGTTTGTTTATTTTGCGTTCAATTTTGGGCTGCACAGGAAATACTGTATACTAGAAACCTGCGGTCGTTTCCGATGGAGGTGAAGGTCAGTGCGCCTGGGGGGTGAGGAAAATTTTATATTTTGGCAGTTTCCGATTTGGCGGCTGCCTTCCTGGAAGTCCAAATTTTGGATAACCCCATTCCGGCGTCGTTTTCTCGCTGGAGTCGATTTTCGACTTCCCCTCTAAAAACCGACGACAATGTCTGTGCAACACATGTGTGGCACGATCTTAGGTAGATGGATATACACATGTGTACGTTCGATTCTGATGATGTGCCCACATGTTGCAGTCAACAATAGAGCACCAAATGCAAACCGAAACAATATTTGCCCTTGTCTGCGACTCTGACTGTGGGCGTGGCGAAGGGGGCGGGAGGAAGGCCGATGAACACACAGAGACAACACAGTAGTCTCTCCGTTCGTTATTTTTGTTGCTTTTAATTTCTTTAATTTTTTTTCCGCCAGATGTGGGCTGAATGTGACTGGAAAGATCACCAGAACAGCGAGAGAAACTGTGTCTGTTTTAATTAAAGATGAGAGAAATACTCGGGGCAACAGGAGAGATACTCAGATATTCCGAGGGAGACCAGTCGAGCATATGTGAAAAATTAAGGCTGCCGTTGTTGAAAGCGAAAAGATGCGGGACGCAAAAGGCAACGACCAACAAAACAGACCCCTAACCAGAACGAAAACGATACTTTTTGGGGTTTTTGACTTTGAGATACTTGGTATTTAAATGGTTTAAATTGAAAAAAATGGGAAATCCTCAAAGGTTTTTCACTAAACTGGAAGAATTGGGAGTTATTAAAGATTTTGTATACAAAATGCTTGGGTTTTTAAAAATTGAATGAGCATGTCAAAATTCTAAAATTAATAATAAAAAAAAATTAAATTTTTTTTTTAAATAAATAACATAAAATTAAAACATGGGGTACAGAGTATTCTAGTATTTTCTAGAACCTACTTTTTACTCATTGCTCTCTAAAACAAACTGTCTGTCAAGAAATTTCTTTTGAACATTGTTGCCGTATTTAACCTTAAAACGGATATACCCCGCAACTGTAGGTCATGCAGGCATTGGAAGTATAACGGCAAAAGCGTAAGCGACTCGAGGGCCACTAAATTGAGTCGTTCTTTCCCAACGCCGGCGCATTGAGTAGGACAGAGTAGGACATCGTGTGGGAGAGATGGTGGCTAGTGGAAGAGAGAAGGGCGACCCGGGGAGCGAAAGAGAGAGTGCCGGAGAAATAAGAGAGGGCGATATATTGTGCGATCGTTGGGAATCGGAATTGGCATTGGGCATATTTCAGTACATCGGACTACTCAGACCAATTTGGAACAGTTTTCGTCGAGCTCCGTGAAAATTCTCGATTCTCGATTCACAAGTCGCAAAAAGCCAGGGGATTTTTCTTCACCCTTTTAGTGAAACGGAGAAACGTGAGTGACACCGTCGACGAGTTGTGCGAAAAATAGAATAGAACATTAAACAGAACAACATTAGAGGGAGCCTTATATATAGAATCCCCATTGCAAAGTAAACTGACAACAAGTTGAAAAGAGTTTTCTCTCGCCAATTAGGTAAACGAAAAGACAGATCGTCATTTTATGACGGTATTAAAAAGAGTGCTAGCCGAAAAGTCTTTATGTGCCAATAAAAGCTATTTTCAATACCGATAAAATATGCAACGCGTAAAAGATATAAAACCCGCAGTATTTGTTGTTATTTACCGCACTTTCTGAGCTCATTCCTCTGGACCATTTTTTAATTTATGGCACGCGCTGGACGAAAATCGGAGCGGTTGAGAACAAGTTACCGGAAATGTGCGCGACATTTTAATTAAGCTCGCCAAATGGAAATGGCCTTTAATCGAGTCAAGACCAGAAAAGAATCTCCGCAAAAAAAGTCTGGCAAGTTAATTCACGAAAAATGCTTGTAAACAAATTGAAAGGAAATTCATTGACTCAAAAGAATCCAGCGGATGTATCTTGTACACTTCCTATCCTCCATTTACTTTTGCACTTGTTGTTGTGGGTGAAAAGTTTTTCTTGTGTAGCCGCCATAATATACTAAACGGATGTGATCATAAATCTAATCGAATGCATTCTTCCAGGTGTTGCAGTCACATCAAACACGATCCGGAGAATCCGCCCTCCGGAGTTTTCCGAATGATCTATGGAACCTTCGATCATCTACGCCCACGTTTGGAGTTCTTTTGGTGACAAGATGGCTGCCATAAATCCATCAACTCACTGAGTAAATCACACACACGTATGCCCCGCCCCCCCTCCAAGTAATTAAAAGCCGGGCGGCATTGTTTTTGGGGGAGAGAGTATTTCCGTTACATCAACAAGATAAGATAGGTGATCATCACAAGAGGATCATCGCAGAAGCACCAGGAGAAGCATCACCATCACCATCATCGGCATCCGATTGCGATCGGAGTGGAGGCGGAGTGGTGGATCACTTCAAAGGCACACACATGTTGCACTAAAGAGGCAACTGTTGTTGTTTCCATTATAAATTAGAAACTAGAAGATCATCGATCTTCTTCCGGCGCAAGAGCGAAAAAAGCAGAAGGGAGAGCACTGCATATAGAGCGGAGTACTCTAAAGTGGATTTCCGGTGAATAAAAAACCACAGAACACAGCACACAGCATACAGCACATGCGACAAACTCCTCCGGCAACGGAGTTGTGGCAGTTGCAGTTGCACTTTTGAGGGTGCCGTTGTGTGTTTTGTGCCCCCGCCGCAAGAGTTACAAAAATAAATATCCTAAAAATGGCTGCTGCCTGGAGTTGGCGTGCCAGTCACTCAACGATCACAATGACGAGCAGTTCGCTGGCGATATTGGTGCTGCTGCTGATGTGGCAACCACTGTTGCAAGTCGAGGCGCGCCGCCAAATGGCCAACAGTCAGGAGGTGCAAAAGGATTCCCCAAGCGGAAGGCCAAGCAAACCGACAAGTAATCAAACAGCAATGGATTTTGATGATGGCACTGGAGATGATGATGATAACAAACCGGATCAGCCGGATCTGCCGGATTTGCCGGAGAAGAATAATACAATGCCCACCTGGCGGCATCCCAAGAAGATGAGTGTTCTGCAGACGCGACCCTCGGGCTCCCTGCTCGCCTTAAGCTGTCACGCTCTGGGGAAACCCGATCCCAATATCACTTGGTATCGCAATGGAACCGCCGATTGGGCTCGTGGTTATGGGACTGTCAAGAGGAATCGCTGGACATTGATAATGGAGGATCTGGTGCCGGGTGACTGTGCCAACTACACCTGCAAGGTGTGCAATCCCCCTGGGTTGCATTTACCACAACACACAGTTGATCGTGAGCGATCGAGTCAACCATCGACCCATCTCAATTGTCACTCCCTCGAATCTCACACTCGTGGTGAATGGAAGTGGCAAGATGGAGTGCAAGTACCTCTCGGATTTGACCAGCAAAAAAGCGTGGATCTTTGTGCCCTGCCAGGGAGTGACCAACTGCTCGAACAACCGATCGATAATCGCCGAGGATCAGGATCAGCTGGAGTTCGTGAACGTCACGATGGAACAGGAGGGCTGGTACACCTGCATCGAAAGCAACAGCTTGGGTCAATCGAATACCACGGCGTATTTGAGAGTAGTGAGAAGCCTCAAGGACTTGGAGGTGGCCGGTGTTGCCACTGGTTCGCTTCATTCGACCTTCTTCGTGTACATCTTCATCGTTTGCGGATTAATTTTCATCATCATGACCACCTTGTTTGTCTTCTATGCCATTCGCAAGATGAAGCACGAGAAGGTGCTGAAACAGCGCATCGAAACCGTACACCAGTGGACCAAAAAGGTGATCATCTTCAAGCCCGAAGGTGGCGGAGATTCCAGTGGTTCCATGGACACCATGATCATGCCGGTAGTCAGGATACAAAAGCAGCGGACAACTGTTCTTCAGAACGGCAATGAACCGGCTCCGTTTAATGAGTACGAATTCCCGCTGGACTCGAATTGGGAACTTCCGAGAAGTCATCTCGTTTTGGGTGCCACTTTGGGCGAAGGTGCCTTTGGACGAGTGGTCATGGCGGAGGTTAACAATGCCATTGTGGCCGTGAAAATGGTGAAGGAGGGCCACACGGACGACGACATCGCCAGTTTGGTGCGTGAAATGGAGGTGATGAAGATCATCGGCCGCCACATCAACATCATCAACCTGTTGGGCTGCTGCAGTCAAAGTGGACCACTCTACGTAGTCGTTGAATATGCACCCTATGGCAATCTCAAGGACTTCCTCTACAAGAATCGACCCTATGGCAGGGATCAGGATTGTTCCCAACCGCCGCCATCGCCACCTGCTCATGTGATCACCGAAAAGGATCTGATCAAGTTCGCCCACCAAATCGCCAGGGGAATGGATTACCTTGCTTCACGTCGCTGCATCCACCGAGATTTGGCCGCCAGGAATGTGCTCGTCAGCGATGATTATGTACTGAAGATAGCTGATTTTGGTTTGGCGAGGGACATCCAGAGCACGGATTACTACAGGAAGAACACGAATGGAAGGCTGCCCATCAAATGGATGGCACCGGAGTCCCTGCAGGAGAAGTTCTACGACTCGAAGAGCGATGTCTGGTCATATGGTATTTTGCTGTGGGAGATCATGACCTATGGACAGCAGCCGTATCCAACGATCATGTCCGCGGAGGAGCTCTACAGTTATCTGATGTCCGGTCACCGGATGGAGAAGCCGGCGAAGTGCTCCATGAACATCTACATACTCATGCGACAGTGTTGGCACTTTAACGCCGACGATCGGCCGCCTTTCACGGAAATCGTCGAGTATATGGACAAGTTGCTGCAGTCGAAGGAGGATTATCTGGATGTGGATATTGCCAATCTGGACACCCCGCCATCAACAAGCGATGAGGAGGCGGATGAAACGGATAACCTGCAAAAGTGGTGCAATTACAAAACGAGAGGATATGCTTTTGAGCCAGCTTATGAAAAAGATCAAATTATTTGAAAGGGGTTCGCAAATTATTAAACTGTTTAAGCTTGACCTAAGAAAATTCATTGAAAGATCTAGGGTTTCCATAAAAGGATATTAAAAATCATAAAATCATGGGATACCATGAAAAACGAAAACAAAACTATCTGCACTCGAATTTATGTATATAGCTCTCATGTAAGTCTGTATATCCCTAAGATCCCTAAAATACACCAAAGGCGTGAAACCAAAAACTAGAAAGCAGCTCGAATTTAAACCAACTATAGATTTTATTTAAAACATATTATAGGTTGCACTTTAGAAACTAGTATGCATATGAATAAGTTTGGCTTAAGACTCGGTTGTATTGCTGTTGTATTTCGTATTGTACTGATCTTTGTAGTATTTGCAGTTTTATACTCGCTAAATTATACTCGTAGCTCATAAGCACAACAATGTTCTATCTTAGAGTTAGTTGCATGCCCGCAGTGCCTTATGAAACAATAAATGTTGTACGTACATATCCCAAAGAGAATCATAAACCCAAACCCATAACTGAAAAGAGCCGACGAGAGATCATGACGTCTCAATTTGAAAATCTGTGAAAAAAATAACACTCGATTTGAGGCGCACGAGGCACGCGCGTCACTAAACGAAAAATGATGAATGGAACGGCCTGCGGTCCACTCTGTTGCTTTGTTTTTTCTCTCCCTCCCCCTCTTAGAGATATATATATATATAATTTTTTTTTCAGCTTTGAACCGCTGCTGAGGTGTGAGTGGATTAGGGGGGCGGGGGGTGGGGATCTTTGGGGCTTGGGTCGCGGCGTTGGCGGCTCGTTTGTTGACGCGCTAAATGCCAAGAGCGTCGGCGATGCAATTAGACGATAATACAAGGCCCGCAATGGGGAGAAGAAAAATAAGTTTATAAAGTATTGTAATTGCGGGAGATTTGTGGAGTGTCCGATTTTTGGCGTTGTCGGGGGATCCGAGGGGGATTCGCAGTGACCGCAGCAAGCCACAGGCCAAAAGTTGGCCCACTTAGATCTGTGGACCGTGGCGGCGATCCCAGCGATCCGATCCAAACGATCTTGCAACATTGTGTGTGATACTTGTTAGATATATGGGCGTTGGGGCAAATTTGAATTAAAACTTGAGTCTTGATTATGAGCCGCTCTAAGCCAGAGATCAACGGTAATTGCCATGACCTAATGTGGGTGTGGAAGCCAACAGAAGTCTGAATTAATAATGCCTGGGATATTTATTTAGCGATTATCTTGTTGGGGAGCTCAGATAAAAATATTTTTATTGGGTTTGTATTTAAGATATTGATTTATTTATTTATTGCACAACTCATTTGTTCTAAGCTTGTTTTCTTCTCCTATTATTCTAGCACCTTATAAATTCTTAAAGCTAACACCACCGCATCAAATTGTCAAATATTTTCCAACGCCTCTACCATCATGGCCTGCTTTTTGTTTTTATTATTTTATTTTCCATTGACCCACTGGATTATACGACGACACTTCCATCGCTTTCCATGCGTGGCCATCATTAATTAAGCGGGATTACCGTAGAAGATCGCCAACGCATCTGATCGGATGATGATGACGAGCGGCCTGTCCAATGATTAATCTCAATATCTTTTTGTCTAAGGCACACGCTAAACTGCATTTTCGATAATTTATCAATCCGAATGGTTTTTCTCTTTTAAAGGGCCCTAAAATTGTTTTGTCTGTTTATTAATTAGGGCCCCTCCAGCGGTGCGAGTGGGCGTGGTGCGATGAGCGGCTGTCTCCTCCTAATGATCGGAAGTTTGACACGTGTCTTGTGGGGATTCGAGCGTGGGTCTCGCTTTTTCCCTTCCTAACCACATGCAACGTGGGCCGCGGAGACCCCTGCAATTATTGCGTGAATATGTTAATTGAAATTTGTTCATGGAGCCATAAAAAACATTTCACCAACATAATCGATCTGGCTACCTCAGGAAGTCTATGATCAGCTCCAATATGCGGGCACTTACCCACCAGCACCAACATAATTCGCGGCGATCAGCCGGCCATCGATCGATCGCCGGGTCTATAAGTCTATAAGTCTGGTCCGCAATCTCTGCAATGTTGCCTGTCTCGAGTGATCAATTAATTTTTGGCCAAAGTTGGCTATTAATTTGCATGCGCTTTTTATACTCTTTTGAAAGGGGATTGCTGATGTGGTATAAAGGTTTTTCAAATGCTTAAATTTGTAAAAAGTTGGTAGACAACTTTAAATACTTTTTGAGATATATGTTATGTTCCATTTTTATTACATTAGAAAGATTAGGTTTCATTTTAATGTTTACTAATTTTTTTTAATATCTAATAATAATAATATTTCAAGAGCCATCACTAAATAAACAATCAAAATTCTTCTCATATAATTAAATATTATTCTAGTTTAATTTATCGTGAAATTATGGAACAGTTCTAAAATGTTGTTTGCTGTGCTGTTTACTTTAACAATTCAAAAGAAACATAATTTTTCCTCATATTTTAAATACATTAAGGACATTCCACAAAAGGGTATGGAAAACCGCGACTTCCTTGAAACCAACTCCTCATTGTTGTGTTTGCTGTGGTCAATCGCTTTTGGCGATCGGACAGCGCACAGGTTGTCTGGTCGAGAGTGCCTGCTGGTGGACGACTGGCTGCGCTCCATTTGAAACTATTTTAAAAGTCTACAAATTGCCTGTCTAACGTCGATCGTCCAGATCGTGGCCGTCAGTCAGTCAGTTGGTCGATTGCACAGCTTGAGTTTGACCTCGTCTTGGGGCTTTTTGTTTGGAAAGGCGGACCGAAGGCAGAACGATCGGCGTGATTTGGCCAGTTGAGGTATCATTTCGCCACCGACATAATTGGCGCCTTTTGTGGATAAACTTCAACGAGTGGAACAAACAGAGTTCAAAGCCTGACAAGTGCTTAAAGCATTAGATGTGTGTTAGCATTTCTATGGATCCATTATTAATCGCTTTGAGCGCGGCAGCAATTCAAACTGAACCGCACCGGAAACAATAAATTAATAATAATTCACTTTGCTTATTTGTATATTTGAATAAGCAAAGAGATGAATCAGTTTGGCGCACCTGTCAGTGAAATGTTGATTCACAGTACATTCAGCCTTTTCCCTCGGAACTGATTTGCTATTTCTTTGGCGAAGTTCACTGGGGCGAATGAGTAATCTCGAGTGGTACTTCACGTGTTTCAAATGCAAATTTTACGCTCTTTCATTCATAAAACTTCACAAAAACTCGAAAAAACCACAGAAAACACACAACCGATAAAACTGAAACAGTTTCATAACCGGTAAACCGGTTTGGCAATTCTCGGGCTAAAAACTTTGAATGATCGAAAACAAGCATACAAAATCTTTAACGATTTTGTGCCTTTTTTACTACAGCAGCCATGATCACTTGACTTGGCTTACGAACTATGCAAATCCAGCCAGCATTTTGCCATGTGGGCAGCAGTCGAAACCGAATCGAAAAACTGTGACAGAGTCTCTGTCGGATTTTTATGAATGAAAACGAACGTGGAGTGGAGTGGAGGTGACAACGCTGAATGAACTAAACAGCGGATGTGCCTAATTAACATTGCTGATTACATTTTGTGTGTTATTAATTAGAAATACTCGAATGATCGCATAAATTTATGAGTCTATATATTGCATTTGCATTATAATGAGCGAAAGGCACCGGGCGATGAGTTGAGATTCAGTAATTTATTTTCCCGGCTCTCTTCATTTATCTGTCGCCATGGTCCGTGGTCGCTGCATCTGTCGGATTTGTGAAATCATTTTCGTTCAGTTGCACAAAATTATGAGCCCAACAATCCGTGGCGAAATGGTTATGCCCTTTGCCGTATTTCGAGTGTACTTGATTCAGTAGTTGTGGGGAATTTTTAAATGTCAATAAGCTAAAAATTTATAAAATTAAATCACAAAAATTCTTTTTATTTACCAATATTTTTTATATATTTTTTAAGTTTTTAATAAGTTTGTTTAAAAAGCTTAATCATTATTTTGTGTAACACATAATTTTTTTGATGAAAACTGACCTTCCTACATATATTTCCTTAATAAAACTTATTAACCTTGTTAACACCTTTACCTTTTTTTATCTCCTTAAAGGGTATCAATATTAATCTGGAGCCTTAATTTCTGACTTGCTATAATTTCAGTTACCCAATTCCTGGCCGCAGCCTTCAACGATCTTGTATTGGCCCGACTTTTGTGGCCTTTTTTCTGCCGTTGCCTTTCTGCTACTGTTAAACGCGAAATTTATGAACAATTTTCAAAAGAAGTCACGCGTTAAATGTACGACACGAACTCACGCGACATTTCCAGAGGCGGAGACTGGGGGGACTTCACCTGTGGGGAAAGGGGTTGGATCTCAAAGGGGCCGGAGGATGTGGTAGATGATTTCGTTAACGCATTCGGGCCTGAATGCAACGAGAGCCTGGCTCGCAACCCGGTTGGCCTTTTGTATTGCGCCTTGTAATATATTTTATTAACAATAAAATGTTAAGTGCCACAAGCAAGGGGCAGCGGCTGGAGGATTGGCCCCAGAGGGGCTCCTCCAGAAAGTGTTCGGATTTCAAGCCTTCATGCTGGGCCGAGGCTACTGTGCTGCAGCTCACTCCAAAAAAAAAAAAAAAAAAAAAAAAAAACAGAAACAAAAAGAAAAACCAGGAGAGATATAAGAAAAGAAGATAAACTGCGTGCGCACATATAATCGCGCCATGAATCAAAATTACACCAGTTGGCTATATATAGATATCCGGCTAGCTGCAACTGCAACGTGCTGAGCTAACGAGGGCAAAGCTCGCAGAAGGACACGACCACTGGAAGAGCTCTTCACTCCGCCGGTGTCGCCACTCCAAGTGCCACCTGTGCGAACCTGGATCAAAGAGCCACAGCCACAAAGAGCACCATGCAAATGCCAAAGGAGGAGGCAGCATTAGAAAACAGGATCGAAGGTAACAATACCCTTGAGGATGAAAAAACTAGCAGAACATTCTACAATATGGTAGAGAGAAAGAATTGTGGGAAGCTTAGAACTTGGGATCTTTAAAAAACTATTTTAAAGCAGAAACTGTAAATCATTTAAATTAATTTAAAAACAATATTAGGAAAAATATATACTGTCTATTCTATTGAAAATTGAACTGAATTAAATATTTTAATAAAAAAAAAACTAATTTTTACTTTAACATTTTCATTGTTAACCAGTTTCTGTCCAAACCAATAACACCTTTCGCAAAGGAATGAAAAATACTAGAATGGAAACCTAAACCAGTTCTCAATTTTTTTTTTCGGCATATGCAGAATGCCACGACATGCCGAATTCGGTGGTTCGGTGGTTTGCTGGTGGTGGTGCAGCAGTACTTCTGTGGTGAGGCTGCCACCCACAATTGGTCAACAAATAGCGGTCACAATTAACCGTACGATGCAAATGCGTCGCGGGACATTGACAATGCCCATAAAGAGTCAA